TGTCACGATCGCATACTATAATCTTATCTTGTTAAAATAATGACATAGCAGTTAACTAATATGGTATTTCCTCATTTTAATGTGGAAAACTCCAATAGCCATATAGTCACTATGGATTTCAAAATGTATTTTATTTGAATAATTTTTAGTAGATTATAGAAATATTGTAAATTTTTCTTAAAAGTGAAATAATGTAAACAATAATAATATATTKAATTGTGTAATGATTTTTATTTGGATAATCTTTCGTAGACAATAAAAAATTTGTAWAACTGTAATAATGTAAGTTTAATTTAATGTGAATTTTTTAAGAACTTTTGCAATTACTTTAAACAACATTTTAATAATAAACAATAATATATTATATTATTTAATAATCATCGTGCACTTAATTTTAAGACCACTAAAACGTCTTTGGTCGAAACGGGTATCTGGGTGAAATGGGTCCCGCTAAATTAAGTATTTCAATACATCGTATACAGTTTTATACTTGTTTATATAATTTTATAYAGTTTTATACAGACATGTCATGCATTAATGATGTAGTGAGATAACCAAAAAACGTGTGCTTGTATCGAGTATGTTCGCGATAAAAACCAAGTCTTTTCAAAAAGATTGAAAGTCGATTTCAATCGTTTTCACGTGTTATRTCTAAAACAGGTTTAATACGGTTTGCAGTATTATTACCATGTATTTGGGTTAAATTGTAGCTACCACGATTAACATCGATATGTATATAATAACTACAACTAATATAGTAGCATTTGCGATCGAAATATTGGACAAAAGTATGAAACATTTATTAATTTATATTAAACATAGATATAAGACACCTACGGTTTGGTTTGAACGAAGCTATGACCACGGGAGCTGCCATGATCTCGAGAGTGTCAATAGTAGTAGTAGTAGTAGTAGTAGGTACACGATAAAAATAATTTATATCACACATGAACACTTTATACAACACAACATTGTCTACACATAACCACTTAATACATTTCGTACAACGTGCCTTTTAGTAAATTCTAATAATTTATACAGCACATTATTAACGTTTTTAACAGTTATTCATTTTGGTTTAAATATTGTGAAAAATAAAAATTGTGATATGATTGTTATAATTGGCACCTTTTTATACTTTTGTTTCCAATTCGAGAAAATATTTGTATGTAATATAATATGCAATTATWAATCTTTTAAAATTAACTAAAAAATATGATTAATCACAGTGTATGTTTATTTATATTATTAATTAAAATTAACAATAAACTTTGTATTTTCAGTTTCACGACAAATCCAACAAAAGATGACTACTTTATGACAATTTACATAAAATCTCATACTCGCGCTGGACCTTACATAGTTGGTGCTATATTTGGTTATCTGTTGTATAGGAGAAAAGAGAGTACAACTAAATTAAACCTGGTGAGACACATCGTTAAATGATTTAAGTAAAAACTTAAGTGTAATGAAATACGATCTAACTATCTAAGTATCTCTATATTCTATACTAAATAATCAAACATAGGTATATTAAACTTCCAAATAAGTAAATAAGTATGAATTCKTTGTTATAAATTAGTTGCAAATAACTTATCAAATTACACCTTAATAATATAACGTTTATAAAAACGTTAAGACTTACGAAAAAATATTAAATTTAACAATTTTCATTTGTCTTATATATGATGTCTAAACTACCAATATATTATTTTAATTCAAATATTATTTATATTACAACAGACACAGACATATGTTTTGCTGGCAATTTCTACTCTAATATGTACAACAACATGGTTCAGTGGAGCCTTAATTTATCATCCTTCCTATGTTTATGATCCCTTGCAAGCCGCTCTTTATGGTTCAACAATAAGGAGTGTTTGGGCAGCAGGTCTAGTCACAGGACTCTATGCTCTTATAATTGGTCCACCGAGTAAGTAACATAGTTAGTAGTGCATATTATATTGTTCATGACTATATAAGAAACGACCTACGTCAAACAACATATTATATTATTTTAATATATAAAAGTATAATAAAASTATAATGTAGATTGTTTATATGATACACTATATTCATATATAATTTATTATATATATTACGAGAGGTACCTA